GAAAATTCTGTTTAAATGTTCTATTACTGTATGCAATTATTTTAAGAGTGAATTCCCCACCTATTTTAATTCATGTTTTACTGTTGCCATGCAGTTTTTTCTTATGTTTACTGCCAGACTAATGAGTTAGCTTCTGGTTAGAGAACTCACAAGCTTGTGCTTTTTGACAGGCAAAAAGCCTGTCCGTCCTCCTCAGCTGGACAATGATAATGACAATGCCAGTACCAATGCCAAAGCCAAGGACAATGCCAAGACTGGAGACGAGGCTGGAGCAAGCATCGGAAGTGTGCCGCTGGTGTCTTCAGCCCCCTGTACTGACGCATTTGGGGTGAAACGCATCATCAGGGGGTTGTTTGAGAAAATACGGCCTGGATTCCCTAGAGACGACACAGGAGAGCTGGAACTGGTGCCTGAGTCCCAGCTCACTGAATTGACCCTGAAACTCACTGAACATGTGATGAAGAAAATAGTAAGGATTCCCAGCCTTGCTTCGTGCAACGCAGATGAGCAAGAGCATTTACTATTACAGCATGTGAAGAAAACTACTAGAGCTGTATATCGGAGTATGGTGGAGGCGACTGGCTGCAAGAGAGACTTACAGATAGCGGTCGGCTCAAGAAACCCTGAAATAATGAAGAGAATTATCTGCTGTGTTGCTAGACATATCCAGGAGGGAGAGTTTGCGCAAGGCACAAATTCACCTCTGGAGTCCCTCAAACCTAAGGATGACAGCAATCGCGCTACGGAGAAAATAAGAGTCATGATTCCTCATCGTGCTAACAAAGTACTACCTTCCCCAATGAATAGTTCTTCTGATTTCCCCAAGAAAAAGGTGGGTGGCATGAAAGAGATGGCCTATGACAGAGTCTCAGCAGGTGATTCTTTTTACCAGAGAAATGTTTCAAATGAGAAAAGAGAGAGGTGTACCCCTGAGTCTTCTAAAAAGCCAAAGGAGTCCATTGTACCAAGAGAGCTGGATGTTGACGAACAACACCATGCTAAGGCAGCAAAGAAGAAATCC